TTGGAGGCCCTTCCTGTACCTCCGGACCGAATTGCCCAAAATGAGGAGACAGCCTCGGGGGAGGGCCCCTGGGGACCAGGACCCGTTTTTCTGTTCGGGCCCGTTGTGCCCGACCTTTGGGGCCTCTTTGGTTGGGCACCGCCAGGGGGTTCTGTGCGCGCTGTCCGGACCGTTTCCCTGCCTTCGCCCCTCTGTTGCTTCTGCTTCGCCTGCCGCTTGCTGCCGCTGCCGCCCCTCCCTCCTTCCCTTCCTTGCTGCTGCCGCCTCGCCCTTTCTCTGAATGCCGCGCTGCGTCAAAGACTTTGGGCGTCGCTCGGACGCGCGCGTGTTTCCTCGGCGAGGCCAGCGCCAGACAATGCGGAGCCTCTTGGGGCATCCTGGACCATCTCGAGAGACGAACACGCGCGACACCGCACCACGCACGGGGAACGGACGTCCGAGCGATGGCAAGAAGACACGTTGTCCGTCAGGACCTTCGCTGCCCTGGCACGCCCGTGTGCTAACGCGTTGCGCATTGACTCGGCGCGTGGTGGTCCACGTTTTGGCGAATGTGTCGCGCCAGACCTGCGTTCCCAGTCTGCGTGATGCGCTCCGTGTCAACGCGCTGCGTGTTGCGCGTTGCGTCTCGGGCCAGCTAAGGCCAGGACCCGCTCCCTTCGTGACAGTTGGGCCGCCGCGCGGCCTCGCGGGGACTCGCGGAGCGGGTCGCTTCGAGCCCGCCAGGGCCCTTCGAGGCCCCCTCTCGCGCGGCACAGCTCGCGTACGTTGCGTGCGCCGCTGCGGGGCTTGGCTGCTGCTCGGGGTTCGGCCTCTCGGTCTGGGAGCCTCTTCCCCCTCGCTCGAGGCTCCTCCCTCCCAGACCCCCCCGCGTTGTGGCAAAATCACGACGGGAGGTTTTGGGCTATTGTCCGGCCTCCGAGGACCCTTACCCGGCCGAGGGGCCGTCAAAAAACTATTCAGGATGAAAATCCAGCCCCGAAGGCCACGAACGGCTCGAACACCTTCCCAGAAGTCGGCCTCGCACTCTGCTCCCCCTCCACCCGCACATTCGCACGGGCACCCATGCAGCTATTGCGCCACATGGCTGGGTGTTCCAGTGCTCTTCGCGCCGCCGAGGCAGCCAGGCAGGGCGGAGAGGACTTCGCACACCGTGACGCTCCACCTGACCAAGGACACGCTTGCGGCGCCCCTGTGTGGCGCTCACGTGCCCAACATCACCGACACCGTCGACATTTACGAGCTGTGCGATGGGGAGCCATATTAGGGACACCTCTGGGCTTGGCGCTGCACGCGCTGAGGGCAACTTACCCCGATAACTCGATCATGGACACGCCTGCGGCGCCCTGGCGTGGCGCTCGCGTGCCCTACGACACGAACGACAGCATCGGCATCACCGAGCCGTGCAATGCACCTCTCGAGAAAGCCCGAGAGGACCCGTTGGACCCCCGCATCCCCGATGTGCCATACCTCCGCCATTATGATCTTCGTCGGCTCTGTCTGTGCAGCCAGCGGCGCCGACATCTCGCCCATCACCTCGCTGCGCCTCAGACCTTGCGCAATCCCGTTCCATCAGGCGCGCGCGTGACCCGTCGTGCCCTCTCGTGTGTGGAAGAGTGCACACCAGGCACGCGTGCCGAGACGCAGGGCCATCAGGCGCCGGCGCCACCGGCTGCAGGGGCGAACGCCATCGAGAAGCCTGGCGCTGACACCGTGAAGAACGATGTTGAGGAGGACGGCGCCAAGGAGCGCCCGACGAGCACGCCGCTCTCTCTTGCCTGGCACCGAACGTCCTCAAGCGAGGATTTGGCCGACACGCGCGATCTACCCGCCGACATCTACGAGGCTATCGCGAAGAGCGCCCGCATCAAAACGACCCTCTGCGAAGCCATCGCGCACGCCGAACAACTTGCGAGCGCCCGCGAACATTGGCACGGTGCTCCTCCAGAGGGCCTCTTCGATCTGTTCGCGGACTTCGCAGAGCACGGTTGATGGGGGGATCTCTTGCATCGACGCCCGCTTTCCTCACTCTCGCGTCATTTGCCCATTTGCTTTCTTCCCCTTCCCTTCCCATCCATCCATTATCCACTATCCTCGGGCTGCCCTTCCTCCTCCCCCCCCCTGCCGGACACGCGCGCCTGCGCGAGCGCTCGAGCGCAGCGCCGCGTCGGCGCCAGCCGTTAGGCAAGAGGCGGTCACGCCCCGCAGCGGCGAGCGCAGAAGTGTATATCAATAGTGGTTCGTGCTTCTGCGGCGCCGCGCAAGGCGTCAGCGTTGTGCAGTATGGCAAGAGTGCCCAACGTGGGGATACCCATCAGTTTAAATCGCGCATCGTGAAGATTTTGTTCATTGCTCCCATGCCGTCGTAAAGTCCAGTCAGTCCCGGGAAGAGGCCAACAAATCACCGCATCGAGGCCCTTCCCTTCTCCGGGTCGGACGAGGCTACGAGGGGGGGGGATCGGGAAAGGGGGGGGGGGGGCCAAATTTGGTGAGCTGGTTTCTCGGCCTCGGCGCCGGGCGCCTTCCCTGGATACACATACGCTGGCGCCCCACAGCGCGGGGAGGCGCCGTGAAGCTCAGCCGCCTGCGCGCTTTCGTCGGTCCCGATCGAGGCCCGGCAACAGGCCCCAGAGGCCCAGGTCGAAGAAAGCCCCCCTCCTCCTCCTCCTCCTCCTCCTCCTCCTCCTCCTCCTCCTCCTCCTCCTCCTCCTCCTCCTGCTCCTCCTCCTCCTCCTCCTCCTCCTCCTCCTCCTCCTCCTCCTGCTCCTCCTCCTCCTCCTCCTCCTCCTCCTCTTCCTCCTCCGTCTCCTCCTATATCAAAGATCTCGGTCTCACCGCGAGTGGTCTGGGTCTCTCCCTGGCTCGCCCCCGCCCCCCTGTGCCTCGATCCATGGGGGTGCTCGCGGGGGGGGCCGGGGAGTGTGATAGCCCAGTGCGCTTTCAACCCCGCCCGGCTCCGCCGATGGCGCGAAGCATGCGTCGTATGCAAGGCTCGCGGTGGGCAGGCATTTTTTTGATCGCCGGCGCCTTAGATCCGGGTTGCGGTCGTGGCTGCGGCAGGGCCGAGGCGGTGCGAGTTGGGCACCGCGGCGGGAAGGAAGGCCAGGAGGGATCGAAGGGGAAGGGGGCCGCGGACGGCTGGAGCGCCTTCAGACCGTGAAGCATTTCCGGGTGCACTGGAGGCAGGCTCAGGTCTTCGTTGTTGTCAATGAGTTTGTCCGTGGCATTTCACATCCAAGATTCCCTTCCGATAGCGGGCGTGACCAGGAGGGGGGGGTGAAGAGGGGGGAGAGGACTGGTCACGCCACGATTCGCGCCGCCGCCATCTGGCAAAGCCTAGGGATGGCCATTTCCCACACGGCGCCAGCGCATTTCCCAGAATCGTGACGCGACCAAGGGGAGGGGGAGGAAAGGGGGAGCGGCGGGGCTGGTCAGGTGTGTTATCGCGAAAACATATGCAACAAAAAAACGTGCTCCAGATGATATCCACTCCCAGACATGCGATGTCCTGTTTATTTCTTGGTGCGGGGTCCCGGGAAGTATTCCCCACGGGCTTTTCATCCTGAGTCGGTTTTTTGACCGGCCCGAGAAGGACCCCCGGAGGCCCAACACGGCCAAGCATCTCCCGCCTTGATTTTAGCAGGACGCGAGCATGTCTGGGGTAGCAAGATCGGTGGACAGACACGCGTTGGCGCTGACACGCGTCCTCGAGTCGAACGAGGAAAAAATGACCGTCGACTGTGGCCGGTCCGCGCAGATTCCTTGAATCTGCACCGGGCCCCCCAGGCGGCGCCTCCGGCGCCGCCCCTCGCGCGCTCCGTGCGCCAGGGAGGGGGGTCCAGCGCGGATCTAGGAAATCCGCGCGGACCGGCGAAGGCTTGTGACTGTGCACTTCTTCTTTTGTTTTCCTCTGCTGCGGCCCCCCGGGAGGGGAGCACCGCGCGGCGGCTCGCGGCGGCGTGGGTGGCCGAGGGCCGCGGTCGCGGAGCAGCTGGAGGGCGGGGTCGAAGTGGCGCGCCGCCCAGGGGCGGGGCGTCGCAAACCGGGCGCCTGCGCCAGCGCTCCTCGCTGTCAACCGCCGGTCGTTCTTGGCTGGACGATCCGCTCGGTGCCCGGAGCCGACGCCGAAGTCGGCGCTGCACGAACCTGCCGTGCGGGAAGAACGGGTACGGAGTCCGACAGCAGGTCCTGTTCATTTTGAGCAAGGCTCGCTGTCGGTGCCCCCCGCGGATGTTGCCATTTGAGGAGGGTTGGATGCCCAACAGCGGCCGCTGTCGTCGTACCCATGTCAGGGGTCCAGATCTTGCTCCTTGTCAGCCTTCTCTGCTCGACGGTGGTATGATTTCCCCCCCCCCGTTTGATTTCCGATGTTGGATTCTGGGGCCCGTTGTCAGGCCCCAGGGACATCATAACCGGATCGGGAGCGACGAACTGGCCCGAGGGGAGGGGTCGGGACCTTTGGGGCCGCGCTTTGAAAAAAACGCACTCCTTCGCATGGGGCTCGAGGGTGCGAAGTCATGTGATTTGTTCGTCGGTTCTCGGCGGTCTCGGCGTGCTTTCAGCAGCTGCGCCACGCCGAGAGCTTTCCAGGGGTGCCTGGCTCGTCCCCAACGGAAGCAGGGGACCTTCAAGCAGGGGATCTTCCCCCCCCCTCGCTTCTTGTGCACGCATGTCGTGTTTTCTGCTCCCTGGGTCCAAGGGTGCACCTGACTCGGCGCGTTCTCGGTGCCTTTCACCCCTGTGACCCCTCCGTGCTGCCATGATGGGCCTCGCCACGCCGTGGTCGGCAGAAGAGGTCGGTGAGGGGGATCGACGAGGCTGCTGAGGATCAGGAGGCCGCGGAGGAGGAGCCGGAGGTGGCGGAGCAGGAGGAGGTCGAGGCGGAGGCGGAGGGAGGTGCCCGGGCAGGATGCCCGGGTGGGGGAAGCCGAGGAGGCGGAGCCCCGGCTGGAGGACGAGGCCGGCGAGACGCTGGGAGACGAGGGCGGCCTGCGTGCCCGCTCTGGCTCGAGCTGTCTGTGCAGCTTTGAGCCCTTTTTGGTTCCAGCCGTTTCCGGGCGGGCGCGGGCGCGGGCCACCGCGGAGGCTGATACTCCTCCGCCCCCGCCTCGCGCGCGCGCCGCCCCGAAGCAGGACCCGCCCATGCTCGAGCGGGCTCGGTCGCGGGTTCGCCTCAGAGGCACGGCCCGACTGGACATCCCCAGATGCCTGTCGACATGTGTTTTTTTGTTTGCTGGCATTTGTTTCCCTCGATCTGGCACTCGGGACCATCGGGCCCCAGAGGAACTGAAAAGGGATCCGGGGTGCCAAGTTTGGGCTTGGGGGAGGCGTCGGGACCTCTTGGGCCGCTCCTCGGAAAACTAGCCTGGTGAAAGACCCAACCATGTACGCTTGGGAGTTCCGTCCTTTTGAGTATCGCCGTCGGTGGTGCTTCCTCTGGGGCCACGAGACGCGTGAGTGTTGTACCGCAATGAGTGGGGCGGACGCTTGCGAACGCGTGAGGGGTGTGCCGACATGGGTGGGGCGGCCGCATGCGAGCATGGCCACTGGGACCTTCGGAGGAGCTCCCTGTGGTGCCAGATAAATTGTGGGGGGGGGGCCGAAATGGGCAGGGGGACGCATCCAGACTGCACCACTGGGACCTTCAGTGGAGCTCCCTGTGGGCCTCGAAATGCGTGAGGGGTGTGCCGAAATGCGAGGGGCGGGACCGCATACGGGCTGTGACGCTAGGACCTTCGGTGGAGCTCCTTGTGGGTCCACGAAGCGCGTGAGGGATGTGCCGAAGTGGGTGGCGGGGCCGTATGCGGGCTGCGCCTCTGGGACCTTCGGTGGAGCTCCAGATAGGGCCACGAAACGGGTGAGGGGTGTGCCGAAAGGGGTGGCGGGACCGCAGGCGGGCTGCGCCACCAGGACCTTCGGTGGAGCTCCTTGTGGGGCCACTAGACGGATGAGTTGTATGCCGACATTGACGTGCGGAGAGCAGAGGGAAAACGATGGGAGCTGGGAGGAGGGGGGGAGGAGAGAGGAGTGAACGTGGGCGCTAACTCTTCAAAACGGGGACCCGAAGGACGCTTGGGAAACAACATCCCATCGGCTGGGTGTCCATCCTCCAGCGGTCCGCCACGGTCAGGTGCTTCAGCAGGGCGCGGTCGTGCATCTCTGCGCGGCCGATCCGACTCGATCTCGATCCCGTGCCAGGGGCCCGAACCGACGCACGCGGCGATCCGATCCGGCACTGGCTGGTCCTGCGGAGGGGGGAGCGCGCTGGTCCCTAGCGTCTTCCCGGATGGCGGCCGACGACGCCATCATGAAGGCCCACCGCTTCGCAGGGAGGCTCTCCGGAGGAGGGGAAGATCGGCCTCACCCGAGCAAGCTGATACTGTGTGCGCGTCGGCCACGCAAGGGCGACGGGCACGCTTGGCAACATGCTAGTATAAGCTCTGTGGCGGGTGCTTTTCGGCCATACACCGTTCGGGAAATAATCTACTACCATATTTCGTGCTATTCTATTTTCGGCTCGGACGTGCGTCTGTATCAGAGGCACATCGTACTAGTATGTCTTGGTGCGTCCCAGAAGATGCTCATGCCGCTATTCGTTCTGCAAAGGGTTCGTTGTCGGCTCGTTCGGTCCAACCTGGCGCCGACTCCGCGTAGGCTCGGTCCGGCTCGGTTCCAATCTTCGGGTGAAATCTAGGTGAGGCTCGATGTTTGCGTGGCGCTGCTGCCCAGATCTCAGACGGTACGATTGTTTTTCCAGCCGTTTTTTTTCGATTTGGGTCTGAGGGGCCTCACCAACAGATTTCCCATGGCGAAAAACTGGCCCGGGGGAAGTGGTCGGGACCTCTTGGGTGGGCCGAGCATTGAAAACCATGACTATGCGACCACTCTTCGGGTGATAAGTGGGAGTGGGAGTTCAGCTTTCGGTGTGCGATTGGGGTCGGATCGGATTCGGCGGAAACAAGTTGGGCACCACGGAGCACCTGTTTTGCCATCTATCTATCTATCGACATTTTTGTCGATTCACTTATCGATCTCACTATCGATCTTTCTCGATCGATCTTACTATTTATGGATCTCACAGTCGACCTCACCATAGATCTCACTATCGATTTCTCGATCGATCTCACAATCGACCTCACGGGACACCACGGGACACCACGGGACCCTGCACCACGGGACTACACGTGACGCAACGGGACACCATGGCACACCGCGCCACGGGACACCACGGAACACCCGCGGTACATCCCCGAGCCACCGCCGGCCAACTAGGAGGCTTAGAGTCATTGAGCTAATTTTTGCCCTAGCCACGGCTGGTTCAGTCCTCCCGCCCGCTCACGCAGCTTCGCCTCGCACGCACGCACGATGCACGACACGAACACGACACCGAAATCGAATTGCCAGTGGGGGGGCTCCATTTCACTTTGAATTCCAGGTCCATGCCGACGCGGCACGACCCGACGCACATTTCGATGCGATGCGGTTTATCGGGTCGATTCTGGCTGCTCCTTCTTCAACCCTCGCATCCGCCCCGAGATTCTGGTCAATGCGCACTCCTGGAGAGACCCGGTATAGTAGGCAAGGATACAGCATATACGCCAAATGAGAAACAAGGCTGCCAGCAGGTGCACCACAGAAGGTTCTCTTGCCCGGATGGCCCCGGTGGCCCTGGAGCACTCGAGGATGGCGACGACACACGTGCCCCTGGGTTTCTTCAGACGTGGCAAGATTTCCTATCGCTTGCGTCTGCTGTATGGTTTTACCCCCCCTGGGGTCGGGTCTTGCGGCGATGGCGCGCGGGGGCGACGCCCGCGAAGGCGTTCAAGGTTGAATTCTGCGACGCTGAAGCACCGAGGGACACGGTGACGCCACTGGACCCGACGGAATCGAACCTCGAACGATCGAGGCCGCGATCGATTCGAGGTGGAACCATCGGCGCCGTGTCAAAGACCTTTGCGCGCGCCGTCGCCGCGCGAATCGGCCCTACGCTGCCCACGAAGACCTGCATGGCCTCCGCTTGCCGCCCTCCTCCTCTCCCACTCCGCGGGCGCCCTATAATACTCCCCCCCGCCCGCCCGCCCGACCACAACATGCGACCTGCGGCATCCCCCCGCCTGGGCTGCGACGCGCGCCGCGCGCCCGCCGGCGCCGCCCCCCCCGGGGCTCATTTCGATTCCTCCGATTCGACTCGATTCGATTTCGATGGCTTCCGACTGCGAGTCGATTCGACGTCGGATGCCGAGTCTTGGCTCCGATTTCTCTCAGTGGAGGCCCACCGGCCCCCGATTTCCGCCCGTTCGGCTTTTCCCGGCTCGGCTGCCGAGTTCCGCCGATCCCATTTCACTTAGATCGCCGATCCGACTTGTCGATTCCATTCTGGGCTCTCCTGCCCCCCCCCCCCCAGACACCCGACGGCGTGATTTTCCGAATGCGCGGCAGCAGAGGTCCCGGCGCCCCCGCCCCCCCGGGGCCAGCTCTCCCCGCGGGCCCGGCAGCGGGCCCCCAGGCCCGAGGCCGAGGCAGGGCTGCTGGACGGCCGGAGCAGGAGCCGAGCCGTCGGAGACCTGGTCGGGGGGCACCCACTATACACCAACGCCGATCCTGGGCCCAGGATCGGCCTGGGCCCAGGATCGGTGTATATGCCTTCTTGCGCAGGGCAGGAGGGCGTATGCACCGATCCTGGGCCCAGGGCGATCCTGGGCCAGGATCGGTGTTGGTGTATAGCTGGTGCCTTCCTACCTGGGCCCCAGGCTCGTGGCCGACATGGAGGAGCAGGTGCTCGTCATGGACCCGGCGCTGACGGGCTGCCCCATCGTGGGGGCCAGCGCCGGCTCTCGAGGGAAGAAGCACGGCGGCCAGGGCCAAGCTGTCGCGGGATCTTGTCGGCGCCGAGCTTGGTCACAGTGCACGCTGGCCGTCGTCGATTCGCGCGCGAGGATGTTCCACGAAGTGACGGTGTCCAAGATGGACGATGACCAGCCATGAGATCCGACGTCCCGACCAAGTTGCGACATCGCACGAGCACTCGACCAGAGCCCTGGACCTCACATCTTTCTGCCGCATGTTTCGAGCTGGATCGATCCGTGAGGGTCCCGGGACCCGAAACGAGGCAGACTTGCCCATCGTGGAAAACAGAACAACGCCTGGGTTTCTGGGAAGATCGACATCGACGCTTCTGCCGAGTCCCTCGGAGGCCTGCGCAGGTTTCTTGGATCGGCGTCGGGCACCCCTGACGGCGCTCCTGGCGGCGCCCCTGGCGCGCCCCGCGCGACAGGGATGGGAGACTCCGGGGCCGATCCGAGGAACCGCGCGGAGCTCCCAAAGTTCATGTTTATGCTGGTGTTCTTCCCCGTGGCGGCGAGCGAGGGGGGGAAGTGGGCGCCTTCGCGGGCGCGAAGCGATCCGCGCTTCGCGGTTCGGCACCGATCCCTCATACTCCTCTTCGCCCTGGGGGCATACCACCAGCAGCTTCGGCATTTTGAACTTGAGTGAAAGGGGACGTTGCTCGAATGTTGCTGGTTTGGTTGATCTGGTTCAGGCATCGAACGATTCTTGGTATGAAGCGGTTGAGCGGCTTTAGACGGATGGGAGAAGGAGGAGGAGGAGGAGGACAAGGCGAAGAGGAAAAGGATGGCACGGATCCAACACCTGCGACGGGCTTGGGCTAAGATACGTAGGCGGTATGAGCTTTCTGTGATCCTGGACCCCGACGGCAATCGGCAATGCTTGCTATTCCCCCGATGCGTCGGCTGCTGCTCGCAAAGCCCATTGGGAGCAAGTTTTCGCGCATCATGAACCCGATCGTTCTCTCGGGTCAGGGATCTTGGAGCAGGCACAGCCCATACAATTTGAGACTGTTTCTCGGCGCTTGGACATTGATTCCGTTTTGCAGAACGGGTTTGTCACAAACACCACTCTGCCCTTGAGGAGGACGGGATCGTTTATGGGTGTTGGGCGGCGGGGGGAGCTGCTGATATTATCTTTGAAGTTGCCACCGTGCCTGGGTTGTGGGTTAGAGGCCTGTTGGATGCTTGTTTGGACATCTTGGGAGGCCTCTCGGGGCCTCTTAGGGGCAATTTTGATGCCTCCTGGGGGCCGTTTGGAGGTTTCTTGGGGTCTGTTTTTGGGCCTCTTGGTGGCCTCGCGGGGCCTCTAGGGGGGGCGTCGTGGGCTCTTTTTGGGGCCTCGTGGGGCCTCCTGGTGCGCGCGTTTTGGGCGGAAGGCTCGAATGGTCGTTTCGTGTTCCCCCTCTTGGGCCCCTCTTAGGGCCGTTTTAGGCGCCTCTTGGGCGCCTCTTGGGCGCCTCTTGGGCCGTTTGGGGCCCTCTTGGACACTCGTTCGAGCCCTCTTGGGTGCCTCTTGGGCCGTCTTGGGGCAGTTTGGGGAGTTTCTGGGGCCGTCTTGGAGCGTCGGGAGCCCGAAAACGCGAGCACGCGAAACACATAGAAACATACAAGGGGGATACATGCTGTTTGCCTCTTTGGACCCTCTTGGGGTGCCCTCTTGGAACGCTCTTGGTTTTTTTTTGAGGGGGGGCTCTTGGGCCGTCTCGGGGCCATCTTAGGCGTCTTGGAGCGTTTTTGGGCTGTTTGGAGGCCTCTTGGAACTTGTTGGGCGCTTTGGGGGGGCCCCTTGGCCCGTCCTGGTGCCCTTTGAGCTTCTGGACAAGTCACGCGGGCACTCGAGGAACGCGCGGGAACGCGCTGGGACTTTGAGAATTTTGGGCCCCAGCCGTCAGAATCCTTGAGCCCCAGAGTATGGAGCACAGGGAACAGAGGACATTGGGGACTTGAGTGCACTCCATTTCGTGCCTCGGAGAATGGTGGCGGAGTATGAGATGTACCGTGCCTCTGGAGGGACGGTTTCTGCGAGCATGGGAATGGGGGAGAGGTCGCTTGTGTTCCTTATCGAAAGACTTCAAGGAAGAATGGACCCCGTTGAGCCGTTTCGTGCCCGTGGTAAGCCCCGACCCATCACCTTAGAGCACCGCCGCGAACATACAGTGATGTTTTCTCGATCGGCTTGCACATGGTTTCACGGACTACGATCGCCCCGATCCAGTGCGGGAGCGTTCTTGGGAATGTGCCCTTGGACAACGTTGTCGAGGTCGAATGGTGGGGGCTCCGCCAGATGCCGAGTGGAGGGGGCTGCTCTGGGATCCCCTTCATTGACGTCAAGGCAGCTTTCCCCTCATTGATCGTAGCGTGGCTCTTTGCAGTTCCTCGGCGACGCGTGTCCCAGACGAAGTTCGCGGCTTTCACGAGGAGCTGAACAGAGGCAATATGGTGGTGACGATTTTCTTTGGGGCGTCACGGCGTCACGTTTAGAAGCTGTGGTTGCTAGAAGGGGTTCGGCACGGTGGTCCTGCATCGATGTTATTGTCCGCGTAGGCCTTGGGCCCAGTTTTGAGATGGATGAGAGTGAAGCTGGCAGGACACGTTCCACGGATGTGAGCCTACGCGAATGATTTTTGCTTCTGCTTCTCCAACATCCCCATTGGTCTCCAGCCGACTCGAAAGAGCCGTCGGCCTTTGATTGAACTTGCCCGCGTGTAAAGTGCTAGTAACCCTTTCACCGCGACCTCCAACTTATCCCGCTCCACCCACCTGTCTCCAACATCACGCCTCCACCTCTCCAGTGCAACCCTCTTCCACCTCCGCCCTCACGTGCCCCCGCCTATCTACATCTCCAGTTGAAGCTCGATCCTGCAGGAGCGCCCTATGCACTGTGCTCAAGACCCATTGGCAACGCAGGTTCTCGCAGTCGTGTGAACGTCAGCGTAAAAAAACACGAAAGTGTGTAACTCATTACATGTAAGAAATATAGAAGGCAGCGCCTGCGGCAGGGCATGCGGTAGGCCCTGTGGCCTTTTAAGTGTGTGCTACCGATGCCTGTTCCAGGTGGGGCGTGCTCAGATAGATTGACTTATGGCTGCCCACAACGCCATTCGGACGGGCCCACCAGCCCAAGGGAACTTTGGGGAATTTTCGGTCAAGGCGCGGTTGAGGCAACTGTCTCGCTATCGCCCCAAATTTCTCTAAGCGCTACGGTCCCTCCGTCTTGTTGCCGCTGCTCGGCGCGATCCCCCCCCCATTCCGCCTGCGCCTCCCGCCCTCCCGAGAGCCGCCCGCCATCTTTGTTCCTTGTTTTTTCTTGTTGTCCCCTAGCCCGCTTCCCCGAGTCCCCTGCTCATGCGTGTCGTTTGCAACCCTTGTGCCTGTTGTGATGTTGGCTGACTGGTCGGCACGTTTTGTCGTTGGACGTTGTGTCCTGGCCAACTCAAGGTCAGCCATGGCCCCCCCAGGCTCGGCGGAGTGTGTCATGAGCACAGACCTTCGCCCGCCTTCCTTTCCTTGCTTTCCCTTTATTTCCTTGTCGTTCCCGTTCTCTTCCTTTGCTGCCTGTTCTCCTCCATCGCCCCGCCGTCGGCTCCCCCCGTCGCCGCCGTCGGCTCCCCCCGTCGCCGCCGTCGGTCTCGTAGCCCTCCTGGTCCTCGGTCTGCGGCTCTCCGCGTTTCCCTTGGTCTGCTCATCCTGCTGTTCTCTGCCCCCTCGCTTGTCGTTGTCCCTTGTCTCTCCTCTTCCTGCCCCATCCATGTTGCTCGCCGCCCCTCTTTCTCGTGCCCTTGCCTGCGTTCTGTCTGCTGTCCTGCGGCCGGCGGGCAGAGCGGGGGGCGGCCCGCCGCCCTCCTCGCGGCCCCTCGCCCCGCGCGCCGCTCCGCCGCCACCCCGCCCGCCGCCCCCTGCCGCGCAGAGCCTGGCAAGCGGTTCCCCGACCGAGCGTCCTTCGGCGGTCGGTCTCCGAGTTTGGGGAGCAGATCGTGGCTTTGAGCTGGCCAGTTGCCTCGGGCAGGTCGGAAGCAGCACGCATGCTCGCAAACGGCATGTGGTGCCAAGAACGCTCTGTTCCCGAGAGCCTCTGCCCCCCCCCCTCCCCGCGCCGGATCCCCAACGAAATTCGAGGCATCTGCGGCGCCGCGCAACCGTCGTCAGCCCTCGCCTTGCCTCCCCGCACCAGGTTCCCGACGTTGTTCGAAGCACCTGTGCGCCTAGGCTTTTCTCTTTTTGTTGTTTCTTCGCTTTTGTGGGGCATGCCCCGTCTTGTGCGTCTGCTTTGCTGCTGTGGTTGGGTTGGGCCTTTCGCTTGGTTGGGGGCAGTGGTGGTTCGGAATCGCGCTGGAGTGGCCATTCGCTCGAATCGCGAGGTCCGACGATGGGAGAACGCACCCCCTGGGGCAACGGGCTCCTCGTGCAAAGTACCCGCCGCAGCTCCTTTGTACTTTTCTGGTTTTTCTTTGCTGCGTCTCCGCTCCTCCGCCCTGCATGCATGGCTCGGCCCGCGATTGGACGTCTGACATGGTGGATGGATGATTGTGCGCGAGCGCTGCGGCGGGGAAAACGCCCTTGTCCCCCTGGCGAGTGGCGCGAGAGCGCGAAGTTTTTCGCGCTCCGCGCAGCGCGAATCGCGGAGTTAAGTGCCCTTGGACAAACAACTTGTTCGGAAAGCGGCAGGGCTTCTCAGAAGCCCTCGCGCCTTCTGAGAAGTTTCCTGCGGGAAAGCTCAGAAGCGTGCCCAGAAGGCCAGGGGGCCTCCGAGCCTTCTGAGAAGGCCCGCCCGTTCTCACTTCTCACCCGGGCTCGCCGCTGATTCCCAGCTGGCATTGCACCCCGAGTCCTTTTTCATGGTCCGGGGGCCCGGCGAGGACCGCAGAGGCCCAAACCGACGAACACTTTTCGGATCGAAGTGCGCAATGCGTTGGGAAGGTCGTCGCCGGCGTCTTTGCGCCCAGTCTTGGTCATGTCAGCCACGCGCAGGGGGTATGGAGAGAGGGGCGCGCATCTTAGAAACATCCTGCTTCTTCGAACGCGCGGGCCTTACCTATAAATGAAGGGTTGGCGCCTTCTAACAGGTCGCCTCCTACGACCCCCCCCCCATCCACCTGCCCCGTTGCGCGCACCGCCAATCATGGCCACCCCCCACCAGGCTTCTGCTCCGCCACGGGGCGCGCCCTGGGGGAGCTCCTTGGCGTCGGCTTGGGCGGCCTCTCCGAGGGCGTGCCGGCCGCGTGGCTGTCCCGCTCCTCCAGGGCGAACCAGGAGATTTCGACGAGACACGCATAGTCAAACAGCAAGGGAGCTGGCCTGTCGAAGAGACGCGCATGGTCAAACAGAGAGGGAATGCTGATCCTCCTGGGGAGGCTCTGTGGCCATCTGGAGCCGTCTTGGAGCGTCTTGGGGCCTCTTGGAGCATCATGGGAGCAATATCGAGCCAGCTTGGGCTACCTTGAGCCGTCTTGGAGGTCATCTTGAGCTCTCTGAGGCCGCTCGGGGGCCTCGTGGGGGCCTTTCGGGGCCACTTGGAGCCCTCTTGGGCTTCTTGAGGCGCTCGTGGGACCCTTTAGGGGGGCTCTTGGGAGCCCTGGAGGGCCTCTTGGGGCCATCTTGGAGGCAGTCGGTCAAAAAGAGGGGGGTGCTCGATTTGCGTCCCCCCCCGGGGGCCACGATCCTCGTGGGGGGCGGCAGAAAATGGCCCTCCCAATGGCCGAACAAGGGGCCTCCGACACCTCGCGATCCCTTCCGAAAAACCTCAGGGAGGGGAGGGACCCCCTCCCCGAAGGAAAATGGGGATGTGGAAAAGGGAAAGGGACCCTGGTTAGGCCACCTGTCGCCCAAAGGGCTGGTGGGATGAGGAGGAGGAGGAGGAGGAGGAGGAGGAGGAGGAGGAGGAGGAGAATGGGGGTTAGATCAGGTCAAGGACGCGGACGAGGACTAGGACCAAGAGGAAGACGAGGAGGAGGAGGAGAAGGAGGAGAAGGAGGAGGACGACGAGGACGAGGACGCGAATGAGGACGAGGCCGAGGAGGACGAGGACTACCACCCCGTAGGATGAGGACGACGCGGACGAGGACTCATGGGACCATCTAGAGGTATTCTTGCGGTTGTTGTTGCTGTTGTTGTTGGTGCTCTTTGGGAGCTTTGGGGGCCCTCTTAGAACCCTCTTGGTAATCCTGGAAGGCTTCTTGGGACCATCTTGGAGACCATCGATCAAAGGATGGGGGGGTCCCCAACTCAGCCCCCCCCCCCCCCCCTCAGGAGCCCGCAGACCGCTTCTTGGGGCTCTCTTGGAGCGCTCTTTGGCGCGTTGGAGGCCGTCTTGGGGCACTCTTGGGGCCCTCTTGGAGCTTTCTTTGGGCCCTCTTTGGGCTCTCTTGGGAACCTTGGAGGCCCTCTTGGGGCCATCTTGGAGGCTATCGATCAAAAGACTGGGTTCCATTATCTCCGTCCCCCTTCTGGGGCCCTCAGATCCGTCTCTTAGGGGCGCTCTTGGGGCCTTCTGGGGGCGCTCTTGAGCGCTCTTGGGGCCATCTTGGGGGCCTTTTAGGCCCCTCTTGGGGCCTTCTTGGGCCATCTTGGGGCCATCTTGAGGCCTCAGAAGCACATCGGAAGCGACAAGGCGAGCATGCGCAAGTCGTTGATTTCTTCTGGTGGTTGGAAGGATTTTGGCTTTTCGGGGAGGTCCTGAGGGGTCCTTGAGGGGACCTGGAACCGTCTTGCGGCCCTCGTTGGGCCTCTTGGAGGCGTGTCGGAAGTTGTCTTGAAGCATCTTCGGCCGTCTTGAGCCGTCTTGGAGGCCATCTTGGAGCATCGGAGGCCCACTTGGAGCCATCTTGGGCCATCTTGGACGCTCCAACCCCTCGTGGAACCCCCCGTCCAGGTCCAGGGGAGGGGGTAGGGGGAGGGGTCAAGACTCCCTCCCCGCCCGCAAGCCGTCTCGCTCACTCCCACCCGCCCTCCCAACACACACGTAGCACCCGAGACTGGCCCGAGCCGCAGCATATTCAGCAGTCGTCTTTGGATGGCCAGCTACTGGGGGCGAATCCGCCGCCTCCGCCGCCGCCGCCGCCGTCGCCCCCGCTGCCGAATCGCCGCAGCCGCTGCCGCCGCAGCCGCTGCCGCCACCGCTGCCGCCGCCGCCGCCGCCACGGCGGCCGCCGCCGCCGCCGCCGCCGCCGCCGCCCCCACCGCCGCCGCCACCGCCGCCGCCACCGCCGCAGCTGCCGCAGCCGCTGCCCCCGCCGCAGCCACCGCCGCCGCCGCCGCCAAGTGTACTCTGCATTGTTTTTGGACAGGGATGGTGGGGGGAGGCCGCATCGGGTTCGCTGCGCATGCTCCGAATTTGGAGGCAGAGTGTGCTTTGTATTGCTTTTTACAAGGGATGGTTGGGGGGGGCCCGCATTGTCCCTGGTTGGCTCCCAGTCGCCTGGGGGAGAGGGTGTAGATTAATAAGGAACCATAATAAACCCCTCCCCGAAGGGGGAGAAGGGGTTGTGGAAGAGGGAAGAGGAATCTCGTCAGACCACCTGTCGCCCAGAGGACTGGTGGGATTTGCGAACGTCGAGGCTGGAGTCTCGAGGCTTAGGCTCGAGATTTGAGGTTCGAAATTCCGAGCTTCGGGGCTCCAGGTTCGAGCTCGAGGCTCGAGGTTTTCAGGCATTTACTCTGCTCTCATTGGCTTCGCAGCCTCGACGCGCCTCCCAGCGACTGCGCGTCGTCGAAAGCCTTCTGGGGGTGCCCGGATTACCCTGGACGACCACCAGAAGCCCGAACGATGGCCCGGAAGACAGCGGGGGCGGAAACATGTTCCGGGGGGGAAGCATCGACCCTTGATCGCCCACTGATTTCCGACAGGGTCCTGACACCCCGCCCAGGACCGTGTGGATTCCGCATGGGGGGCCCATCGCTGACCTGTCGGCGATGTATCCGATCGCCGAGTCCAGGTCGATGTCCCCCCCCCGAGCCGGGCCCTCCCTGACCCCTCAGGAGAGCTTCTGCGCGGAGTGCGCCAACCCCGACCTCGCCGGAATCGCGGAGACCGTCGTGGTGCAGCCTCAGGCCATCCCGGCGGCGCGCAGGAAGGGGGCGGCGCGAGGCGGGTGGCCTTCTAACGAGGCAGTGGGGCTGTACGAGGGCAGGCGTTTCCGCCCTCCAAGGCGCCTTCTTAGAAGCCTCCAGGGCCTCCAGGGCTCTTCCGAGAAAAAACACCTGCCTTCCGAGAAACCCCAGCCCTTCTTGGAAGGCCTCTCCCCTCCCCCTTGCGCGCACCGCCAACCATCGAAAGCGACGTGCACATGATGGGGCGTCTGGAGTTGCGTGCGGATTTCTCGGATATGCGCACAGAGGGAAGTTCAGTGCCGATGCAAGAAATCTGCTCGGACCTTCGAAAGCTTATGGCCAAGCAGTGGCGAAGCAATACCGGGACGGTCGGTCCCTTCTCAATATGGACGTTGGTCGGAATTTCGATCGACCCAAATCAACATGAATTGCTGCGATCCGCGCTTCGAGGGAACATGCCGATCTCGGCCAGGCCTGGGGCCCGCCCATAAAAGGGGCCCCAAACCCCTGGCGCTCCCTGCCGCCGCCCTCCTGGCGAACAGCGCCGATGTCGAGAACTCGTGCCCGCGCGCTCACGTTTACTGGGCTACGCGCAGAGGGGGCGCGGGGGAGGGGGGAAATGCGTCTTAGAAGGAGGCTGCTTCTTAGAAGGCGCGGGCCTTGTCTCCAGAAGCAGGTTCCGTCTGAGAAGCCTTCCCCCCTCCCCCGCGCCGCCCATTCATGGTGTCAGGAGCATTTGATCAGCGCGTCGCAGGTTCTGGCCCACCACGCTTCGGAGCGACCAGCTCGCCACCCTCAGATCCGGGCGTTGCGTTTTTTTTGCGCCAGGCGTTTTTGCCCTTCGGGCCCTGGGGCCCTCACAGATCGATCCACATCGGAAGTCGGTGCAGAATCATGGGGTCTAGGGCTCCTGTCGTGATTTTTCTCGATGCTGTTTTTTTGCAACGTCGGATGTCAGGGCACGTCCCAGTCCCCAGGCATCGACGCCCCGACCCTGTTCAGGCCTCCCGCCCCACGGAGCGGCGCGGCACGCCACTACAGCTCCCAGGGCACGGCGTGCCGCTGGGGCCACCGTGGCACGCTGAGCAGACGTTCCTGACCGTATGTCTGGGCCTCCCAGATGGGGTCCGAACAGATGGGGCCGGTGGACCGCGCCGCTTCGCCGATGCATCGCCGATGCGGCTCGATATGGAGCCCGATTTTCTCCACGCAGGCGTCGCTGATGCACCGCCGACGCTGCCGATGCATCGGCGATGCGGCGCGATCCTCCGACCCCGTCTGCTCGGACCCCAGCTGGGAGGCCTCGAGTGTGCCGTGTGCCGTTTGTCTGCCCCTCCAGGCCAGGAAGGATGGCTCCGTCTTCACGGGCTTCACCCTCCTCGGGCTCTGCGCGGGCGGGAAGCAGCTGTCCATGTCCACGGCCTGGCCGTCTGGGCGCCTGCGCCACGACCCCACGGACACGGGGCGTTTGTTCGTGGATGCCCCGCGCGGAGCGCACGGTGGGTGGGGGGCGTTCGTTAACTAAGGAATGTGCCCAGGAGTCATCAGACCCTGAAGGATTCTTGATGTTATGAGGGCGGCGGTGATATCCATGTCCAGGCCTCGACTGTCTTTCAACCGGCTGCCAGACCCTGGATTTCTGAACTAAGGATGCCTTATCCATATCCCTGATCGTATTCATGCGGATGTGCATTCACGGGCTCGCGACCCGGGAATCTAAACCCGGGGGCGTTGATTCCTTGAGATCCGACGTCACGAAAAAACATACAACATCGTGAGAATTCACAACCAGAGCCCCAGACCCCATCTTTCTGCGGCCTTGCATATTCGAGCAGGATTGATATGTGATGGTCCGGGCGGCCGAAACCGAGCGAAAACGCATTGTGTGTGAACAATAATGCAACCCCCGGATCTCAGGGTATGCATCTGCTCGCGCGGCCCGTGAGGCTCTGCGTGATGCCTTCGTGCGACGGGCTCCGCAAGTGCATCGTCGGTGCCGTGATCCCCTGCGCGGAGGGCATGCCGGTGCGCCTGGGGCGTGCCGTGCACGTGGAGCTGGAGGGGCGGGCTCGGGGCATCCTAGAGGCGCAGGGGCAACAATATTGATAGACCTCCTACCCTGACACGTCGAATAAGGAATTGGCCCTTTTCGGTTCGCGAGAGGGCGTCGCGGCTGTCATTTTTGCGGGTCCAGGTCCGTCGGTTTCGGTCCCAGGCCGTTTTCACCAAAAGGGAGGTTTACTAAAGGAAGGTTTGTCCACCGCCGACAATAGATGCTAGGCCCTGCGATCCAGGCGTTTCAATTCTTTCGGATTGGGCGTTTTTTCCGCACGATGTTGGGCCCCGGCACCTTCACACATCGATCCGGCTCGGAAGATGCTGCAGAACGATTGGGCCCCTATAGGGCTCAGGTGCCGGTCGTGATATTTCGCGATGTTGCATTCATGTCGCAGCATCGGATCTCAGGATGGGCTCGAAGCTCAAGGTTCTCTGGCGTTCTCGCCGGGCCCCGTCGGCTTTCCAGCCTCGTGATGCCTTCCAGCGGCTGCGTCTCCTCTCATCGAGAACACCAGAACCCCTAACCCGAATATCAATGAAGACGCGGCCCGTCTCTGCACCAGGGAAGCTCAATCTGGGTGGTTTGGCTTGGTACATCTGCAGAAAATTACGCTACCGAGGAACCCCACATACTGATTTTTAATCTTATGTGTTTGCTTGTCATTATCATATATGCGCAATGCTGCGTTCTAAACCCTCGTCGCGAATCGTCGTCGTACTTGTCGTACTCGTTGTCGTACTCGTCGTACTCGTCGTCGTACTCGTTGCCGCTCTATCGTCTTACTCGTCATCGTACTCGTCGTCGTACCTCGCCGTCGTACTCGTCTTCGCATTCGTCGTCGTGCTCGTCGCACTCGTCGTCGCACTCGTCGTCGTCGCACTCGACGTCGTCGTACTCGTTGTGTTGGTAGTGCTCGTTGTATTCGTCGCCGCACTCGTGGTCGTCGTCGTCCTCCTCCTCCTCCTCGTCGTCCTCCTCCTCCTCCTCGTCCCACCCCATCCTGTCAACTCCTCCGCACTCCTCTTAATTCCTCCGCACTTCCCTCAACTCCTCCGCGCTCCTCTCAACTCATCCTTTCATATCCTTCTGTACTCCTCCTTTTGCACTCTTCCGCACTCCTCTCAACTCCTCCGCGCTCCTCTGAACACCTCCGCACTCCTCTCAAATCCTCCTCCTCACAACTCCTCCGCACTCCTCTCAACTCCTCCTCCTCGCAACTCCTGCACGGCCGCGCACGGCACGGCACGGCACGGCGCCGACGAAAGGCATGGCACGGCAGTGATTCCCGACGGCCCCGGGGTTTTGAGCGTGCCTCCAGACACCGAAAGAAGCGAAAAACCTCCTCGAACTTCGAAGTGCGTCGCCGTCGTCGTCGTCGTCGCCGCCAGACATGGTCAGACCTCCGGCGGCGCAGTGCTCCCTCGGGCCCCGGATGGGGCGGGCGCGGCAGGGGGCGGGAGCGGGGGCCGGGAGGACCGGCCAGAGCTCCTGCGGACCGACGACAACGACCTTTCTCGCCCTGCCTTCCGCCACCATTTCTTCTCCTCTATTTTTCTTCTCCATTTTCTTCTATACTGCTCCTGGGAGGGCCCATAGGGAAGGGAAGGAGGGGAGGGAGGGAAGGAGGGAGGGACTCCTGCTGCTGCCCCGGCTCCTGCCCCCTTTCCTGCGATGGCAGCTCTCTGGTCTCGCGCCCTCCGATGGAAAATCTCTGGGCGACAGCGCACTCTATAAACCCTAAAGACCTTCGATGGAAAATCTCTGGTTTTTGGATGCGGACGACGCTCTGTGGCGATCAGAGGCAGACGTGCCTAGACGGGCACGATGCCGAATCCATGTGGGAAAGCAGCGCGCGTGGCATGCTGCAGCGAACCGCGCTCCGGGAATCCGCACTATCTTGGCAGCCACGCTTTCCACAATATGCTCCAGACGCTGCGCCACAGATCCTGAAAGTTTCGCTGCTTAGTATATGCCTTTGGAGGAGGCAAATTGCCGCCTCCAAAGCCGAGAGCCAGGGTGCTGACTCAAATTTACTTGATAAAAGCCAGGCCTGACGGCATATCGCCAGCCAGTGTTTGAGAGGTCTCGGGCAGCCGTGTCAGGAGGCCACGAGACCCAATCGAGCCACATGTCTCAGCAATATTATCGCAGGGCGCTGGCCTAGGGTCCGCAGCCGAGCAGAGTTGGCTCGTCGGGCTTCGTAAACCACCGAATTCGCTTCGCGACCGTCGTCACTCACTCTCTTCCTTGTCCCTCCCCCCCGCCGAGAGCCAGGGCGCTGACTCCAGCTTACTTGATACAGGCCAGGCATGGCGGCACTCTGGAAAACGCAGCGCCTGCAGCTCCGCCGAAAAAGGGTTGAAGGCGAGCGACATACAGGCGCGGGAGGATGCACATAGCTCACGTGCAATGCAGCCAGGCGCGCGCCAGCCGCGAGCTGGGCACGCATGCGCCAAGTCGTCCGTGCAGGGCGCGGCAGAGGGTGCACGATGCCGCTTGGAGGGTTCAGATCCCTCTCCTCCTCCTCCTCCTCCTCCTCCTCCTCCTCCTCCTCCTCCTCCTCCTCCTCCTCCTCCTGTTCCTCCTCAATGACGTCCCGAACGATACTTACGCTTGAGAAAGCTGTTCCCCACCTAGCTACGGCCCCGCTCGGCAGAGGGGGGCCGCCCTGCACTCCCCGTCGGCGGCCACCCTCCCGCCGGCGTGCACGCGGCCGCTGCGCGCTGCACGCCGCAGTTCAATCTCTCGGGGAACGGAGAATGGCATAAGCATAAAAACTCGGAGGTCCGCGCGAATTTCTTTTCACGGGCGACGAACGGTATAACATAAACGTTTTCGCTGTCGGGGGCGCATGGCTCTGGGCGGCTGGAAAGTTCATTCCCTCACGGTGGCACCGCAGGGGTATAAACTTTCCAGCCGCCCAGAGCCAGGCGCCCCCGACCGCGAAAAAGTTTATTTTATAACGTTCTTCGTTCGCTGATTCTTGGACTCGAAAAATCCGCGCGGACCTCCGAGTTTTTATGCTTATGTCATTGCTCGCTCGCCCCTCACCTTCGGAGGCTTCTTCACCTTGGCGCGCTGCTCCTGGCCGCGGCCGTCGCCGATCATGCCGCGCACGAGCTCCAGCAGGGTGCCAGACCCCTGGCCCCGCTCGCCGCTCTTCTGGAACCCGGGGGCCGACGAACAGGAGCCCGACTCCTCGCAGGTGAACAGGTGGCCGTCGATAAATACCCACGGCATGCTCGGCGGCTCGGTGAACTTCGCGTCGGTGAGGCGGTGCATGGCCGCGACGACGCTGTCGGCGTAGTCCGTGCTGTGCATAATGTCGAACGCCTCGCGGCCCTCGAAGCACGCCTGCAGCCCGTCCTCGCCTGACCACGGGGCGCCGGCCTGCTTGCCGCAGGTCTCGGCGGCATCCTCGTCGCGGCCGAGCAGCGCCATCGCCGCGAGCCCTAGGTCGCACTCCACGAAACCAGCGCCCCTCCGCAGCGCCTCGGAGCCCGCTGGGGCGGGCGTCGGGAGCGCCTCCTTCAGGGCGCACAGCGGGGCCAGCGACAGCGAGCATGCGTCCGTGATCCTGCAGCTGTCGGAGCTCGCGTCAGGGCAGCCTGCCGCGAGGGGCGCGACGGGCCTTCCACGTCTCGCAGAGAGTCGATGCAATGATGATCAGCAGCAGCTCGAAACGTCCAATGCCAGGGGGCGACGTCGCTCACCTCCCCGTAGAACTTGGCGCTAGCTACGCCGAGCATGTCAGGCTGCAATGCGAAAAGACGAAGGGTAGGTATATCCGCTCTGTAGGATCCAGCGTTCGTGGAGTACCTGTAAAGCGCCTGCCACAAATCGGCGTCGCCGCCCCTCCTCGACGGCAAGTACTCCAGATCAGAAGCTCGCTTGGCCGCGAAAGCCTTGTACCATTTCATTGCTTTCTTCCCCGCTTTCGTCGACAGATTCTCGAGCTGAACTGATTCTCGCAAGCCTTGCGACCAGGGTACTTCTGCCCAACGGCGGTCCGTCTGGGCCGGCTCAGGGGACAGCTGAATGCGAGGTGTGCCTGTGGAGCGAACAGAGGTGGCAAGCAGAACTGCTGGGGGCCGCCGAGGAGTGAATGCCTGCATTGGCGTGCACTTGATAGGCGTGTCCTGCGCGGGCGTGGCAGCGCCTCCGTTGCCGGCGTCGCCGACCCGCCGAACTTTCGCCAACGGCGAGCCATCGCCATCCTCCGCACCGCCCCCCGGCTGATCAGCTGGGAACCCGCCGGACGAAGGGTTCAGCAAGTACGCAGTCAAGCACTGCCTCCTGGCATCGTCGGCGCCTCTTGTTCGCGGCAACTCATTGTACCTGGTGAGGAGCGTGTCAGGCCACCAGTTTGCCAGCTGTCGGTGGTAAGCATCAAATGCACGGTGTACCAGTGCGTTCCCATGCCGGACAACATATATTGTAGTGGCCTTCGGCCAGTGCCGCCGATCCGGGTCGCTCGGGGTTATTCTCCAGACGCAGAAATTATGGGCGCACACTCAAACGCACACACACAGTCACACCACTTAACCTGCGCCGCAGACATGCGCACACAGCATCACCCACACACACATACTAGTTGGGAAACGCACCTGTAGTACTAGTAGTAGTATTAGTAGTAGTAGTAGTAGTAGTAGTAGCAGTAGTAGTAGTAGTAGTAGTGGTAGTAGTAGTAGTAGTAGTGGTTGTGGTAGTAGTGGTAGTAGTAGTAGAGGCCTCGTTCCGCGGCTTCTCTCGACTTCCCGCGGTCTCTCTCAAGTTTCGAGCACGCGGTGAGTTTCACGATATATGTGTGTGTATGTACGCGTGCATGCATGTATGCATGCATTGATCATGTGTGCCTGTGTGTAGGTACGTATGTATGTATGTATGCTTGTGCGCGTATGTATGTATTTAGTTTGTATGTATGTTTGTATGTGTGTATGATAATATGTGTGTATGTGTGTGAATGTAAGTATGTATGTCTGGAAGATTGTTTTTCTATGTATGCAAATGTGTTTAAATGTAGGTA